AAACGGTCCAATCTTTGACCACGTTTCATGAAGAGCTCCCCAACCTCTTCCTTCACTTGAGGATAAGTCGTGATCTCCACTAAAGATAATCTCTTAGCTGCGATAAAGAAGCCTTGAGGATATGTCATGATCTCCACAAGAATGATCTCTTAGCCACTATAAAATGGCTCTAATCTGGGAGAGGAAGAACACATCCCACCAGAGACATACAGAGGACGAACCGACTACTAGAGATTACTATTTTTCTTTGATTCTCCATTCTATCTCTCAAAGTTTGTATCTCCATTCTCCATACCTTTGAATCAATAAAATACCCGGCAACTGAAGCCATTGAAGAGTGGACGTAGGTCGAATTGACCGAACCACTATAGATTGTGTCTTCTTAATTTTTTCATTGATTTCATTGCATTTATTATCTACACTTGACGGGTGGTGTGCAAAACTATTTTTGTGCATCATCAGTCACAAATATTAACAAAATATTAATACAAACACATTTTTTGTGACGACAAACACAATCTCCATAAAAAATTGTCTCAAAAAGGTCTTTTGTGACGGCATACATAGTCGCCGAAAAAAATTTGTAACAAAAGACTCTTATTCTTCTAGTGTGTATATATAATAATATATATTGCATATTATATCATTGTATGTTCAATAGTCTGGACCAACTTACACACGTCTTAACTAATTTTTTTTTTCAATCCGGTCAAAACACTACACTAACCATACAATAGCATTAGATAAGAGTACGGTCTCGGTGGGTATTTCTTAAGTACTGTGTCGAAAATTAATTTATGATGTTAGCTCTCATTTTAATTAGTTGGGACAATTAAAACTAAAAAAAATAAATTAAGATAGGTCCTACTTAACCCATATTTGGAAGTCAAAATTAATGCTGGAATATCTCATTTGGGCATACTCGACGCCAAGTTTGAAATAGTGACATGCACCAATTCTAAATAGGGGTGTTAATTGAAACAAATTACTCGAATTCGGCTCAGATAAGATTTGTTTTCAGTTCGACTTATGTTTTTTTTCTATCACGATGTTTCCTTCTCCGACAAACATGTAACCAAAATTTGTCAAAAAAACCTTCAAATTCAAATTTTAATGTTTATCGAGCATGAAACTTGTTAGGAACGTACTATTTTTTAACTCAATATAACATGTGTATTAAATTGGGTTGGATTGTAAAGTATAAAAAAAACCTCTAATCCTATCCATTCCGAATCAGCCATTGTAACACCACGAAACAGATTTTTATTAGTGTAAAAGGAAATTTTTTGATTAAATTTACACACCACACACATCTAACGAGAAGTCGTCACAAAATCAACTTATAAAATAATTATTTATTGAAAATATATAATATTTTAATAATGATTTATACTATTTAATATTATCATAGTGTGTTACACCCATAAAAAAATTTTGTGCGTAGAAAAAGAAATATGACTAGTGTTGGTCATGAGATATTTATTTTTCTTAAATAATATAAATTCGCTGTAAATGACCTAAGTTCAACTCCACGTAAATTCAGCTGACACCCACACTCAAAAAAAAAAAAAAAAAAAAAGAATACACCACTAGAGAGAGGATATTCCAGAAAGTCAATCCAACTAGGAAAGTAACGAGTCAACGATCCAACAACAAATTGTTCATCTTCACAGCCGACGTTGACATGCGTCCAAAACAGCTGATGCAAGCAGTGACATAATCACAGGGCACACGTGTGGAATCCTCACACGTGGCACACCACTACTTGACAGTAAACTGGCTGCGGTCAATCCCCTCCCCCATCCACCAAACGAACCTATCACCACCTTTGTCTTCTCAGCCACGTAAAAGGGTCTCTCTCTCTCTCTCTCTGCCTACCTCACTCTGTCTGTAAGCAGCTTCCAGCTGTAGATACGACCAGTCTAAATTCTAACCTCCCACGTGTCAATATTCTTTTTTCCCCTTGTATATATATACCCTGTAATTCGTTTTCAGATTGTATTCAGCATTTTGGACAGAGAAAAGGGTTCAAAGAAAGAGAAACAGAGTGATTCAGAGGACCCAAAAGAAAAAGAGGTAAGGCATTTAGAGAGAGAGAGAGAGAGGAATTTTGTGAATGAAGAGTGCTCAAGAGTTGGAGTTGCCGCCGGGGTTCAGATTTCATCCGACGGATGAGGAGCTGGTGATGCATTATCTCTGCAGGAAGTGCGCTGCACAGAGTATTGCTGTTCCGATTATTGCTGAGATTGATCTTTACAAGTTTGATCCATGGCAGCTTCCTGGTAATTTGTTGATTCTATGAACATGGTACTTTTTATCAATTGAATACCCTTCTCAGAAAATTGGCCGGAAAAGCCTTCCGACGGAACCCTCCACCGTGCCGGCGGTCGGCGAAGCCTCCCTCCCTTCTCTCTCCTCTCCCCGTGTTCTCCCCCCTTCGACTGGACCCTCCAATCACAAAAGGGCCGGGTCAAAAAAATTACATTATTGTTCGATACCAGTTATTGACACTTCCATTTTTTAAATTTTGTTGGTTTTTTTCTGAGATATTTTCTAAATATTGAAAATGAAGGCGGCTTCTAAGAAAAACCTTCTAAATCACCAATCTTTACTAATCTTTTTCTAATTAAAATAAAAAAATTCTCAAACTTTGAAATTTGGGTCCAAAGAAATTTAGGAAGAGGGGGGAATTGAAGGCTTTCATTAATTTAGAGTAGGTAATTTGAACTTTATTCCCTTTTATTACAATTTTTTGAGATTTTAATTATGTTTGATTCATGAAATTCAATGCAGGTATGGCTCTTTATGGTGAAAAAGAGTGGTACTTTTTCTCCCCAAGGGACCGGAAGTACCCCAATGGTTCCCGGCCGAATCGGGCTGCCGGAACCGGATATTGGAAGGCTACTGGAGCCGATAAGCCAATCGGGAAGCCAAAGGCACTCGGAATAAAGAAGGCACTTGTGTTCTACGCCGGAAAAGCTCCTAAAGGAGTGAAAACCAATTGGATAATGCACGAGTATCGCCTAGCCAATGTGAATAGGTCAGCTGGAAAGAGAACCAATATGAGGGTACATACTTATTCTCCTTATCTCTTTCTCTTGTTTGTGACGAGAAATTCTTCAATACCTACCATTATACCATTGCTCTTGACATATTATTTTCATGTTCTTGCAGTTGGATGATTGGGTGTTATGTCGATTATATAACAAGAAAGGTATACTGGAGAAACATTACAATACGGAACAAAATACGTCAACGTTATCGGAAGAGATAGAAGAACAAAAGCCGAAAATCTTGTCATTTGCTCATAATGGAATGACATTGCCACCACCGATAATGGATGATTACTTGCATTTTGACCCGTCGGAGTCAATACCGAGGTTACACACGGACTCGAGTGGCTCGGAGCATGTGGTATCGCCCGAATTCACGTCTGAGGTCCAAAGTGAGCCCAAATGGAGTGAGCTGGAGAAGGCCCTTGATTTTCAGCTGGATTACATGGGTGGCTTTGGAGATGACATTTTCGCCTCTAGAATGCAATATGGTGACCAACTGTGGCCAATGGAGGACATGTTCGTGAACTTGCAGAAGCCATTCTAGCCGTTCGATCAAATCAATGTCGGCCCAAAAAACAATTTTATTACATAGATTTCATTTTCACACCAGAAATTTGATGGTGGCACAGCAAAATCTTTGTCACTCTTCAGGTGGAGGTGACATTAATCTTAGGAACTAGAAAAATAGATGTAGTCAAGTATAATAATCACCTTGGAAAAACGAAAAAGCATGATGGGCTGGATCAAATGGGCCAAATTGGCCTTCACAGACATAGTCAGATGGGCTGCAATTGGGTGTGCTGCCATGGAGATTATGTTCATACGAATTGGTCAATCTAGTGGTAGAGGGTCAAGACTTGGTGATCAGAGGGGCAGATTGTAAGATGTGCCCTATGTTAATATATGTATCGCATGTAGGATATTCTTAATTTTTTATTTTTTCTTTTGGAGTGTAACAAAATTAATTTATTTTTATTATGAATTGAATTTTCAGAAGAGAAAATTCTTGATGGGAATGAGGGGATTAACCTGAACAACATTCCAAAAGCAGCATCTTCTTTGAAACAGTTGTATGCAGGCGGTTGAAAGTGGCAAGTCCCAGGGTGGTTCAATGGTTGGACTCTTTTTGATGAAAAATTACGAAAAGCCCTATAAATTTTGTTTCGATGGCTTTATCCCTCTACACTTTACAAACCTACATATAATTCAATATAGTTAAGGACTAAATTTAAAACACTGGTAGATAATTTATAATTTTAAGGGTGAATTTTATTTTAGAAAGATTTAAGAATTCTCACTTTATACCCTCAAATATTAAATTTTTTATATTTTACCTTAAATTTATTAAAAGTGTTATAATGTGACACTTCCGTTAACTTCCATTACTCATTCCGTTAATGTCAATAGGAGTGATTTTTGATAGAATAAACAACGAAAATTAACAGAAGGTTCAGATTACAACACTTTTAACACATTAAATATGCAATATGATAAATCTAATTTTTGAAAATACAAAGTGAAAAATTTTAAATCTTTTAGGATATAAAGAATAATTTCCCCTAATTTTAATCATAAATGATAATGATTACATGGAGGCTCAGACAAACATCCATATAACAAAATAGAGCATTTCGGTTGTGTANCGAATTGGTCAATCTAGTGGTAGAGGGTCAAGACTTGGTGATCAGAGGGGCAGATTGTAAGATGTGCCCTATGTTAATATATGTATCGCATGTAGGATATTCTTAATTTTTTATTTTTTCTTTTGGAGTGTAACAAAATTAATTTATTTTTATTATGAATTGAATTTTCAGAAGAGAAAATTCTTGATGGGAATGAGGGGATTAACCTGAACAACATTCCAAAAGCAGCATCTTCTTTGAAACAGTTGTATGCAGGCGGTTGAAAGTGGCAAGTCCCAGGGTGGTTCAATGGTTGGACTCTTTTTGATGAAAAATTACGAAAAGCCCTATAAATTTTGTTTCGATGGCTTTATCCCTCTACACTTTACAAACCTACATATAATTCAATATAGTTAAGGACTAAATTTAAAACACTGGTAGATAATTTATAATTTTAAGGGTGAATTTTATTTTAGAAAGATTTAAGAATTCTCACTTTATACCCTCAAATATTAAATTTTTTATATTTTACCTTAAATTTATTAAAAGTGTTATAATGTGACACTTCCGTTAACTTCCATTACTCATTCCGTTAATGTCAATAGGAGTGATTTTTGATAGAATAAACAACGAAAATTAACAGAAGGTTCAGATTACAACACTTTTAACACATTAAATATGCAATATGATAAATCTAATTTTTGAAAATACAAAGTGAAAAATTTTAAATCTTTTAGGATATAAAGAATAATTTCCCCTAATTTTAATCATAAATGATAATGATTACATGGAGGCTCAGACAAACATCCATATAACAAAATAGAGCATTTCGGTTGTGTAAGAGCAACTCCAAAAGGAGTTGTTATTTTGGGGTGCTAAATTATCTATTTGTAACTTTAAATAATATTTTGTCATCTCTAAATTATAAATATGCTCTAATAGCAAGTGCCAAAATGAGTTGTCATTTTAATATTTTAATATTTAAAAAATGAACATAAAATAATCAATTAAAAAATAAATCAAATCACCCTTAATTAAAACAAATTATAAATTAAATCTGTCATCCCCTTCTCTCAGCCATAAATTAACCCTTAATTAAATTAAATCTGTCATAAATTATAAACAAATTATAAATTAAAACAAATCATTCAGACCTTACCCCTTTCCCCTTCCCTCTACGATTCAGACTCTTCCACTTCCCCTTCCCTTTCCCCTTCCCCTTCCCTCTCCCTCTGCACCTTTGCGCCTCCTTCCAACGATTGAAGAAAAATCAGGAGCAGGGAGCTTACAACGATTTTCACAACAAGCTTTGGTAAGTTTTCTTTTCAAAATCTCTGTATTTATAGAAATTTTTTATTGAATAAAACTGTTGAACTAGCTGTTGAAATTGAACAGTAGAATTTGTAACCTCTCTTTTTCTCTCTCCAGAGTTGTCAAAATTGTCACTTCAAGACCATTGATGCCATAGTTATAAGATTGTCACCCTTGATACCACTCCCCTTGGAGTTGCTCTAAAGTAAAACAATAAGAACCCAGGTACAATATTAGTCAAAAATAGAACCTTCTACTATAACATTTTTCCAGTCCTTACCCAACTGAAGTATCACAGGTTTTGGAGTCCCCCTCAACCTCTTTTTTTCTAAATTAGTTATGATGGCTCTTCAACAGCAGAAAGAAGGAGGCCTTAATGAGGGTTATTCTCCGAAACACACAGGGAACCTTACTATGGGGGAAAAGCAAAAAGGATTCAAGCTCTCTGGAGCAGATTCTCTGAAGCAGCGGCCATTGCAAAAGCATGTCTACTTGTAGATTCACTACAACTGGAGAATACTACAATTGAAAATGATAACAAGGATCTTATCTCCTTAGCTGCAACAGAAGGAGTACCTCCATGGGAAGTATATGGATTTATCAAAGACATTAGGGCTATTAGGAAAAAATTGAATCTACGTTTCTCTCACGTGACCAGAGAACTCAATAGAGGGGCTCATTGGGTTGCCAAAGAAATCATCTCTCGAGACCTCCATAGCGACTGGATAATATCCACATGAGAAGTTGAAAGATGTACTTAACTTAGATTTTAATCATCCTATTTGTGATAGAATTATATATTAAAAGCTTATTTTTTTGTTACGTATGTATGTATTTTATTTTATATTATAGATAATATGGTGTGTAAACTTCGACTTCTACACAAAAGAACAAAACTTTCGAATCCTTGTATGATATGAGTAAAAAAAAATCCTTGTTTATTTTACATTATTTGTCAAAGTTTGTATTCCAAATTAATGTAAATAGTGAGATCAGTGGAACCCACATATGAATCCCACCCCCCCTCCATGGGTTTCATGACCGGGCCGGATTTCAAACTCTAGGCTAAATTCATGGTTACCAAACATAGGTTTAAGGGGATTTAGTCCCCAACTCATGTTCCAAACCCCCCCCCTCCAAACCCACATACCAAACAGCCCCTCAATGTATAAAATTTTAACCCATCATTTAAAATACTAGATACAAGATTTAATAAATAAATTTAGATCTCCTCCATCAAAGATGGTGGATCAATATGTCTAAACTTCTTGGTGCTTTCCCTTCATTCCATTCTTTAGGAATGATATGTGGGCCGTCCTCAAGCAAGACTCAAGGAATCCCCTTTGTTATAGTTCCAAAACGTCCTACCTTTCCTGGTCTTCCAGCTGCCTAAACCCTTTACTTTTGCTGGTCTTTCTTTTTGGTTGAAATAGCACAAATCCGTTTACCCACTCATTGAAATTTTCCAATCTGGTCAAGACTAGGTGGAGTTTTGGTGAACAACCAGTGACTGTCCATCCTTTTGCTCAGGCATGACTCAACTAAAGTTGAGATGTTCAAGCTCAGCTCTCCTTGCACCCGAGCTCGAATTTGAGCCCCTGGTTTAGATAGCCAAGCAATTCCTTTAAACCATCAATGGACTAAAAATCATCATACCAACTCGACAGTCAAAAGAAAATTTACCAAAAGGTTCAATCAAATCATCAGTTTCGAGATAAACGCTGGAATATTTATTATTCAAAAAAAATGGGAAATATTTCAAGAAACAGAGGGCCACTTCTTTGTGTTTGCTGCAGAAGAAAGTTTTTCCTTTGCCTTAAAGAATTTCAGTATTGCAAAAACATGAGCACCTCATCATATATAAGGATGTCGCAGCAATAACCTGATAAACTGGTATATGCTTATTGAACACCATTTGCATACATTCCTTTTAAGGTTTCACTTTCTGGGAAAATACGGATCATGTAATTCAACACCCAAAACTAGAAAAACAACTAACATCATCATTTGAAAGCTGGCTAGCCAATTGAAGGAAGACTTCCTGCAGCTAATTGAGAGAGAGAGAGACGAAAGCTTGTGCTTGCAGAGTTGAAAGATTTCATTGTAGATGCTTAGAATAAGGTGGGAAGGGGAAAGTGTCAAAAATAAACAAGCTCAAGCTTGTGAATAGTTCAGGCTTAGCTTGGATACAAAAGGCATTTAGCTAACCATCCAGATCCAGTTCATATGCTATTATAAATTATAATATATGAATGACTTTGACCAAGCCAAAAATGAATTGAGCCTGTGCTACTCGGATCACTTTGCAGCACTACCTGTGTGGCTTAGTGTAATCATCTCCCAGAAGATTTTGTAAGAGAATTTATATAGAGTACTAAAGATAACAAAAAAAAAGATGGAAGACATATTACAAACAAACATTACAATATAAGCATCATCCAAATAGTATCTGTCACTACATCAGCAAAGAACTATCACCAAAACAGTATTGAAAATGATCCAATTAAACAACACAACGGATTACAAGTGGAAATTACTAAATCTCGTAATATTGCTATCCAAACAAGCAAATCACAAGTTCGAGGCAGAGAAGAGACACGTCAGTTTGGCTCAGATGCTTTTCCAAATATCTTGCATTATCTCCTTGCGGAATCTGAAAAAAGAGAAATTGGTAAATATATGCACTCAGTATTAGTTGGATTTTTTTGTTATAATATATATATATATATATATAATTTCATGCGGCATTGTCTCAGTCAATCAAAGCTTTGACATTAGCATAAAAATTTCTCTTATCGATCTATATATGAACTCCTATCATTGCTCTGGACGTGGAGGCATCCTGACCGATGTGTATAAGAACAATATCTCCATATAAGTACAAACATTACCAAGCCTCAAATCCCAACGCCCTGATGACACCAACATTGACCTATGTGAGCTGACCTTGATCCTTTTTTCTCCGTCTTCCGGAAGGGAATCAGGTGGGGTAGTCCAACTTTAAGATGTAATTTGTAAGGCTTGCAAGCATTCACACTCGACCGGATACAATTCTTCGAAAAGCTACACTTGTACATCTCAAACAGTTGTCAAAACTATTTAGACAGCTACACAAATACCCCCTCTTCTTGATATGCTCACAAGTACCAGCAAAAATTAGCATAGAGGCATGCAACGAGTCCCTGTCATCTAAGAACACAATGAAAACTAGGTAGCTCGATAGCTGACATGAATCAAGAGCACATCAATAAGAAAGAGTACAGGATAGTTTATGATACATATACAGCCTACACACAACTATAGTTTCAAGGTCCATCTACCCATGTACTACAAGTAACGATATAACGCTTTTTAAGATAAAACTGTGTATAAACTATTGTTACAAATTTGAAGGCAATTATACAAGTTCCATCATCCAAAAATTTAATATGGCACCTGTTAGATATCATAAAAGCAAATGGTACAAGGATTTGTCCTTTTAAGTGACTGGATCCAGCATATGTGGTAATTGTACCGACTAATCATGCAATCTGTTTGTGAAAACTCCAACATCAATTGTAACTATTCTCCAATAAAATCTAATATGTTGCAATTTTAACATTGTAATAGCATTTTATAGTTCACTGAAGTGTTTTGAGTTAGTTTCATGGAAACATCAGCACAAAAACCAAGAAAGAGAAATTAATAAAATCTTGTAAGACAGATATCAAGAGATAGACTGTTGCTGAACTTGAAAACAAAATCAATGAAATACAAAATGTTTGCACACCTGTCATACAAGCACCTTTAAGCCTCTCTGTTAAATTGTACTTATAGATCTGGAGGAAATATAAAGAGCTTGAACCCGTTGTTTAGCAGTTTGTGCTGTTGCTGCTGAATCAGCCTGGCAGAAGCTGCAGCCTTAGAGTTAGGATAAAAAAGGTCCATATTCTGCAGTGCAGATACATCCCCAAGACCAGAAGGTATTTCTTCTAGACTTTTGCAGTGTTTAAGAACGACATGTTGGAGTCTGGGGAAGTGATGGCTGGAGGCCTCCCACTTCACCAATTCTGTCCTCCCAAGTTGCAAGACTCTGAGCAAACGAAAGCCCCCATCAAGTGGCTTCCATGTTTGTCCCTTGAATGCATTTTCTTTTAACTTGAGGACCTCAAGATTCGGTAACATCCCCAATGAAGACATTTGTTCCCAATCTAGCAGGGTATCTGAGAGGGTTAGCTTTTTTAGGTTAGGTGGAAATTTGTACCATTGCGGAAGTCCTGGTAGTGCTGAAGGAGGACGTGGGAATGTGTCATTCAACAACTTCAATGTTTCAAGGGCATCCAATTTGCCAATATTATCAAACATACGAGGCCCTCCTCTTTCCTCCATAAGTGTAACCAAGTTCCCGCGAATTCCTAGTTTTTTAAGACTGGGAGTCCTGGCTAAGACATTCTCTGTACAACTATCAGGAGAAACTGTGGAAATGGTTTGTATGTTTCTCCTTACAAAAGGATCTTGGCTAACCTTCCGTATTTTGGCAGGAGGCCCATGTAAGAGACTTGACCCACTTGTATGTAGATGTCTGAAGTGTAACATTTTCCATAAATCTGCCTGAATGTCGAGATTACGTGATGTTGTTCCAAAGTCGAGAGTTTGTAGGTTATAGAGGTTGGAGATTGAGGCAGGAACAACCTTGAAATTACCAAATAGGGCTACATACCTCAAATGAACTAGTTGTACGATCTCATTCGGAAAACGGGAGAGACTGATGGACCTCACATCCAACACTCTAACCAATTTAAAGGCTTCATAGATGAATGATGTATGCTCTCGAGGCAAATCCTTTTCGTCTAGGGAGAAACACAAGAAAGATCGCACATGGGGACCAGAAGGCTTTGAACAGATGTAGTCCAAAACATTCAAATGGATACACAGGCGGCGATGATATTTCGGGGTTGGTATTAAAGGAGAAGAATTTGGTACATTCCCTTTGATCACTTGCAAAAATTTTTCCTCTGCACCTTCTCTCAAGCACAAATCACGCAGCAAATCATGTATTCGACATGCCTTAATTCGACCATTTGCCCTCTTCTTTGCCACTAAGATTAAATTTCTATCAACAAGATCTTCCAAGTACTCCTCTGCTATATCTTCTAAGCATTCATGACCTGTCTGCTGCAGAACAAATCCTTCAGCAACCCACAGCCTCAGCAACTTCCACACAGGAATCTCAAAATCTTCGGGAAAAACTCCAAAATATATGAAACATACTTTCAACTGATCAGGTAAGTAATTGTAGCTTAGGGCTAGCACATCCAAGCATTGCTTGGGGTCCTTAGCAACATATGAACTCACACTTTCAGCCACTTTCCTCCACCAGTCACGCGTTTTGTCCTTCTTTGCAAGAAGTCCTGCAACTACCACAATTGCAAGAGGCAATCCATAACACTTCCTTGCAATTTGGATTCCAAGCTCCTCAAGCTCTGAAGGGCAGCTTCCTTTCCGAAAAACCTTCTTACAAAGTAGCTCCCAACTTTCATCATCAGTGAGGAAACGCAAATGATGAGGCCTATCAGGGTTCGCATACAGAGCCACGTCGGTATGTCGACTTGTTAATAGTATTCGGCTTCCACTATTAGTGTTGGGAAAAGCCATTTTAAGATCATCCCAGGCCCAACTAGTCCATACATCATCCAGGACAACAAGATATCTGCCAGTCCTCAACTGTTCGCACAGTTCTTCACACAATCTTTCATCACTCATTTTATACATTTGGTCTGTGTGCCTCTTCAAAGATTCCAAAATGCCAAGAAACATTTCCCTTCTACTGTATTGTTGAGAGACATAAATCCATGCACGGATATAGAAGTGATATTCAATAGAAGGATCGGTATACACTTTTCTGGCCAAAGTTGTCTTGCCGAGGCCACCCATGCCAACAACTGAGATGACCTCTAGCTGCTCTGATCCTTTTGTGAGTCGATCTACTACTGTCTTAGCCTCCTCATCAAAGCCCACCACATTGTCTTCCTCCACAACAGGAGCTCTCTTTTGTGCAGAACGTTTGGTGGAAGGTTCTCCACCTTGCTGGGCTTCAATGCCAAACATCTTTTTATCATAAATCTCCTTCACTTTCCCCTTGATGGATTCAATCTGTTTCGCAACACTGCGTAGCTTTGCTGGATAATCAAGGACATGAACAATTCTGCTCATGGTGCTTCTTGCCTTCTGCATAGCCATGTTGACCACAAATGTGTCAATGATGTCTTCTGCCTCATAAGCCACATCTGTGATTTGCCTGACCAATACTCGAACATATTCATACTGACTGCGCTTCTCCTTTGAATCCTTGAGAAAAGCATTCATCAAACTAAGCTCCCGGTGAAGAGATTCAACTTGTTCCTTTACACCAGAAATNCGAACATATTCATACTGACTGCGCTTCTCCTTTGAATCCTTGAGAAAAGCTTTCATCAAACTAAGCTCCCGGTGAAGAGATTCAACTTGTTCCTTTACACCAGAAATTAAATCTGCATTGTAGATTAGAAGCTGCTTTAGATTATCCAAGAGAAACTCAACAACAGCATCAGCCATTTCACTTCTCACTCCCTTTCTCTTTCTCTTTCTCTGAGTACAGGATGACTCTCTCTTAAATCTCAGCCACAAGACCGGCCCAAAAATTGCAGTTGAATGCAAGTACACAGTTTGAGATACTTCCACAAGCAGATCCAACAAAAAATTGACGCCCTGCGTGTGTTGCACTGACCTGTTTATTCAATGAGAAAACAATCAAAATACAGAAGATAAAAGAAGCTACCTCACTGTATGTTAAAATGCGTGGACATTTTAAAAAGAGCATTAGTGCAATTTCACTCATATGATACACTTGATGTATTAGTGAGTCAAAACGGATACAAATTAAGTGTAAAGCCCCCATATATATNGAGAAAACAATCAAAATACAGATGATAAAAGAAGCTACCTCACTGTATGTTAAAATGTGTGGACATTTTAAAAAGAGCATTAGTGCAATTTCACTCATATGATACACTTGATGTATTAGTGAGTCAAAACGGATACAAATTAAGTGTAAAGCCCCCATATATATAGCCAATAAAAGTTACAATAGGATAAAAAGGTAAAAAGAGAAAAAACTCTAATAAAGCTTAATAACCTAGGCTGCTATAACTCCAACAATCCCCCTCAAGCTAGGCGCAAAAATGTCAACTAAGTCAAGCTTGACAACAGAGTCTTGAAGAATGGATAGAGTGACAGGTTTGGTGAAAACATCCGCAACCTGATCATTGGTCCCCACAAATGATAAAGTGACAATATCATTGCTAACCTTCTCCCGAAAAAGTGAAAATTGATCTCTATATGCTTCGTCCTCTCGTGTAATACAGAGTCAAAAGCGAGTTGAATAGCAGATTTGTTAGAGTATGTGTGGCTCATATTTTGCTATGTGCATAGCAGATGTCGGAGCGGAGCCCGCGACGGCATCTGCCTTGCGGGATTTATATATAGGGGACGCTGATTAGTTGGGGGTGCGGGGGCAACGCCCCCGCGGTACGGTACAGGGGTATTTTTGTAAATACGTCCATATTAGGGTTATATAAATACTTAAGATGTAACCCTACTTCAATAAGGAAAAGAACAGCCGCTCGCTCTCGTGGATGTAGGCACATTGCCGAACCACGTAAATCTCTGTGTGTTATTTTCTTCTGCTTTCTTAATTGTTTGATTCCTTACTATTCATCATAATTGCTGCACGATCACAACAAGATCGATTATCACAATATAATGTAGATGAAGAAGTTACTGAAAATCCCAACTCGCCAAGAATTGATCATAGCCAGATAATCTCATGTGCCAAGTGTCATTACCCGATACTCTGCCTCGGCTGACGAGTGAGAGACAACTGACTGCTTCTTACTTTTTCAAGAGATAAGATGAGTCCCTCGAAAAGTACAAAAGCTCATAGTAGATCGATCGTCACACGCTCCCCCATAATCTGAATCTGAATAACAGGCTAGAGAACCAGTATAAGATCTTANTTTTCAAGAGATAAGATGAGTCCCTCGAAAAGTACAAAAGCTCATAGTAGATCGATCGTCACACGCTCCCCCATAATCTGAATCTGAATAACAGGCTAGAGAACCAGTATAAGATCTTAATGCATAGAACAACCCAAGTCTAGGACAAGACTTGAGATACCAAAGAATATGATAAACTCTGCATCAAGATGAGGTTGACACGGCCTGTGCATAAACTGACTAAATCGGCTGACAGCGAATGAAATATCTGGCCTAGTGTTAGCTAGGTAGATAACTCTACCTACCAACCTCTGATAGACAGTCGGATCACTTAACTCTTCACCTTCAGCAATAAGTTTTAGGTTTGGAATCATGGGTGATGATGCCGGTTTGCACCCCAACATTTCAGTGTCTGATAGAAGATCCAAAACATACTTCCTCTGAGAAAGAACAATACCCCTTCTACTACGGGCAAGGTTCAAAGTATCGGCCGAGTCGGATACAACTCGACCGAGTCGTATCTGCCTTGACAGGCATCGATCCGATAACGATATACGATACAAGACTATCACAAGTCTACCATGAATCGGTTTTGACTCGGTCAAACTCGAATTCAACACGGTCCAACTCAGATAAAATCAGACAAACTCGGCCGATTCATTTTCGAATCGAACTAATACACACAAAATAGTCCAAACAACAAAGAAAATGCCAAAAAAGACGAGAAATTGAATCCTAAATCAAATCTTTTTTACCATAATAAAAACAAAACAAGAAAATTATAACAAAATTAAACACAAACTTGAAAATTTGTGGTAAATCTCCCTAATCAGAGACCCAATATCATCGATCAACATCGCAAATCAGACTTTCCTTCTTCTTCGCATTTCATCGATCAACATCGCAGACCCTAGGCTACTCGACGATCGGACTACTTGAGTAGCAAAAGACCCAGCCTTCACAATGAGTCTCAAGTAGTGAAGACTCGTCGTCTCTGTGCTCTCTCTCTCTCTCTCTCTCTATTCTCTGTGGTCGTCGAAGTTGAGAGTTTTTTTTTATCAAAATACGTGAGGCTTTGGCCTTATAAGACCCCAAAATTTATTCCCCCCTTTCTTTTTGTTTTTTTAGTTTTGGCCTAATTAAACCCCCTTTCTTTTTGTTTTTTTGGTTTAGGCCCAATTTTTTTAATTATATAATTTTTAGTATTTATCATATAATCTAATTAGAACTTAACTCCTTAAGTTTGTTTTTGTATATGTATTAATGATTTAATAATTAAATGTACATAATGGAGAAAATACATATAATCATCATACATAAAATACATATCAATATAATCGATCTAATTAGATACATAATAAATAACAAAATGAAGAATTTTTTTATAAATAGATTTTCATTTTTAAAAGCTATTAAGTTAACCATATATATACACTTATATTTTTTTATAATTTTAAAAATTACAAATTAAATTAATGTAGATGATAATAAATAATGTGTTAAATAATATCTTTTATGAATATGATGCACTGATAATGTTTACATTTATTACAATTTTTTCTAATTTTTTCAAAATTTTTTTGAGCTTTCTATATAATGTTTTGGGCGTATCGGCCGATACTACGTCGTAACCGATGTGTTTCAATAGTCCCCGAGTCAAGGGCCAATACCGCGACCTTGAACGATGGCTACTGGCAACCTTAATGCCAAGAAAATATCGCAGAAATCCAAGGTCCTTCACATCGAAAGCATTTCCAAGATCTACCTTAACCTATGCAATTTCAGAAATATCATCTCCAGTAATAATAATATCATCCACATATACCAAAAGAATGACACATTGCCCAGAAGTATTTTGTCAAATAAAGTATGTATGATCTGAATGACATCTAGTGAACCCCAAACGTACAACTACACTACTAAACCGAGAGAACCAGACTCGTGGTAATTGCTTCAATCCATAAAGAGACTTACATAGTTGACACACTTTCCCTGCATACTCCCCCTCACCACGAAAGTTTGGTAGTGCATCCATATAAATAATCTCGTCCAAATCACTGTGAAGAAACGCATTCTTCACATCTAACTGATGAAGACGTCAAGAGTACCCCGAAACTAAAGAAATAATCAACCGAATAGTAGTCAATTTTGCCACAGGGGCAAAGGTAGCACCAAAATAANACTAAAGAAATAATCAACCGAATAGTATTCAATTTTGCCACAGGGGCAAAGGTAGCACCAAAATAACGACCTGGTACCTGAGTAAAGCCTTTCGCCACAAGTCTAGCCTTATGACGATCAATAGTACCATCCACAAGAAACTTTAGGGTGTAAACCCAGCGACAGCCAACAAGTTTCACTCTTGAAGGTAAAGAGACAAGAAACCACGTATGATTACGCTGAAGAGCATCCATTTCCGTTTGCATGGCAAGAACCCACTGGGGCTCCCACATAGCCTCTGAAATAGAATGAGGAACTAGTGTATCTAATAAGGTCATACTATAAGCTCGAAATGTAGGAGACAGATCACCATAAGAAACATAAGCAGAGATCAGATATAAAGTCCTGGTAGTCCAACCATAACGAACAACTAGACGGCAACCACGCTGCGGATAACGACGCCCTAAATCATCATCCTCCACTAACAATGTCTCATCAAGGAAAGTAACTGGCTCAATACCTGGAATCTCATCAATACTAACAACAGGTGCATCAACATACTCAACAAATTGAAAAGTATTACCTGTATCGCCTGAGGTAGAGGGAACATCAACAGGGAAATGAGAATGAAGGCAACAAACATAAACCTACAAAAGAAGAGAGACCGGTGACTCTGTACTGATAAAGACGAGTGGCTCTGGAAAATGAGAGACTGATGACTCTGTACTGATAGTGACCAATGACTCTAGCTCTTATGGTAATAGAAAATCAAAGGGAATATCATCAACTGGAGGAGAAGACACAAGAATAGAAAAAAAATAAGGAATATGCTCAAGAAAGGTAATATCTAAACTACAACACATACGGCGCCTGATAGGATTATAACACCGATACCCCTTACACTGATGACAATAGCCCACAAAGGCACAACGAATCGTTTTATCATCAAACTTATGGCGAGTAGGAGACCAATCCTGAACAAAACATGTGCATCCAAAAACATGAGGGGGGACTGAAAAAATTGTCCGCTCAGAGAATAAGACCTGTGAGAGAGCTCTATGCTGAAGAATATGACTCGGCGTATGATTACACAGAAATATAGAAATCAAAATAGCAAAATACCAATTAGATTTTGGTACTCCCATACCTCTAAGCATACAACGTACCATCCCTATTAGACTCCTATTTTTCCTTTCAGCAACTCCATTTTGCTCAGGAATATATGGACAAGTAAGCTGCTGAAGGATACCTTAAGAGGAAAGGTGAGACACTAAGGCATCAGACACATATTCTTTGGCATTATTCGAACAAAGAGTACAAACAATGACATCAAATTGTGTCTTAATCATCTAGAAAAACTGAGTGATGACAGGAAGTACATCAGACTTCGTATGCAAAAGG